TACAGGTGCCCGCCAAAATGTCCAGCTATTTTTTGTTGCAGTTTAGCTGGGGCCAGGTTTGAACCCACCACCCTCAGTATATGGGGCCGGCACCCTACTCACTGCGCCACAGGCATGGCCTAAATTTACCTTTTTTTTTTTTCTAAATTTACCTTTTTAAAAGCATCTCTCAGAAAGCTGAGGCAAGAGAATCACCCAAGCCTGAGTTGGAGGTTGCTGTGAGCTATGATGCCACAGCACTCTACCCAGGGCAATAGCTTAAGACTATCTAAAAAAATAAAAATAAAAATAAGAGGGTCTCTCAGGTCTCTGTGTTGAGAATGAACTGAACTGTATGATTCCACTTACGTGACGTTCCTAAGAGGAGTCAAGTTCATAGAGACAGAAAGTAGAATGGTGGTTGCCAGGGGCTGAGGTGAGGCGGAAATGCAGAATTAGTTTTTAATGAGTACTGAGTTTCAATTTTTCAAGTTGAGCAGAGTTCTGGAGATGGATGGTGGTAATGATTGCACAACACTATGAATATATTGAATGCCCCTGAACTATAAACTTAAAATGGTTAAGATAGTTAATTGTATGTATATGTATGTTTTCACAAATTGGAGGAAGTGAGAATGGACTGCAGAACGTTAAGGTAGACTCTTCAGAAGGTGGTAAAGAGATAATGGTGTCTTAGACTCAGGCTGTAGTACTGGAGGTGTTTAAAGTGACATGTTTCTTGATATATTCTGAAGGCAGTGCCCATAGAATATCTTGAGAGACAGACTACGGAATTTGCTAGAAAAAGAGAACTCACAGGTGGTTGCAGGGTTTTGGGTCTGCTCACCTGGAAGGATGAAGTTGTCATCAGCTAAAATGGGGAAAGCTGGCTCGGCACCTATAGCTCAGCAGCTAGGGCGCCAGCCATATACACCAGAATGTAAGGGTTAACAGACATACTAAACTACACTGCAAGAGGAAGTGCTAGTGTGCTTTGGCTGACTCAGCCCGCATGAGAAGGCCGGATGGGGAGACCAGTACTCCTGAGAAAGCCCGATGGAAATACCAGCACAAACAAAAGATCTCTCACACAAGCTACATGTAACAAGCCTTTCCTTATTTAGACATAAACGCAGAGCACAGCACAGGGCCCCTCCCCTCCTAAGTCCACCCTATAAAAGACCACGCCAGCTTCAATAAAAAACTACTTCTTTTCTCTCTTACTACCTTGGTGTGTAAGTGTGATTCTTTCCTCTCCTTTTCTTCTTCTCCATCTTCTCATATGCCGACTCCCCTTGCGCAGCCGCCGCCAGAATACATCCTGGGCCTGCCAAACAACAATGACAACTACAACCAAAAAATAGCCGGCATTGTGGCGGGCCTCTGTAGTCCCAGCTACTTGGAAGTCTGAAGCAAGAGAATCACTTAAGCCCAAGACTTTCAGGTTGCTGAGAGCCGTGACGCCATAGCACTCTACCCAAGGTGACAGCTTGAGACTCTGTCTTAAAAAATAAAATAAAACAGGGAAAGCTATATGTGAGGCAGGTGGCAATAGAGATGCTGAAGTCCAGGTTTTGTCCTGTATATTAGACATCAGTCAGAGATGGTGAGCAGTTGGTTAGAAACACAAATCTGGCCCTGCACAGGGAGGTCTGGGCTAGAGATATATATGGAAGTTAAGTCAGGAGGCTGAGTGAGACCTGGAGGGGAGTGAGTATAATTAGAGGGCAGGACCAAGGACTGAATCTGTACTCTCTAACATAAAGAGGTTGTGGAGAAAGGGAGCAATTGGAGGAGGAGGAGCCAGGAGAGTGAAATATCCTGGAAACCAGGTGAAGGTTCTGTCTCAGGGAGGAGGGAGTGCCCAGGATGAATGTGGCTGAGACTGATCTTGGATTTGGCCATTTCTAGGACAAGAGGGAATGAGAATCCGACTGGAGTAGGCTCAGTGAAACCAAGAGGAGTGTTAAGTCTTCTTACAGAATACTCCCAATATCTTCTTTTATTAATCATTTTTTTAATTTTCTATATTTAGTGATGATTTACCATCTTGGGGTCTTGCGGACCCAGAGAGAGATTGCCCCTCCCAACTGGCTCCTAGAGAGGCTTACCACTTGCCTGTGAGCATGCCTTTGGCATGCAAACCAACCAATGCTGAGTCCTTACCCACCTCCTTATATCAGATTTTTCCTGCTGACACCATTTTACTGACCTAAATCACCCCAGCGCCAGGTGCCAGACAACTAAAGATGGCCTGTAAAGGTCAGAGCCCGCCAAAATTATTCAAACTAGGCTCGGCGCCTATAGCTCAACCGGCTAAGGCGCCAGCCACGTACACCTAAGGTGG